AGAGCGGCGTAATGACACAAGCTGTTTAAATCTGCGGACACGCTGTCAAGCCGATGTTAATTTGCTTGCAGGTGTGTTCCTCTGTGCTGTCCCTACTCCAACCCCCACTCTGCCTCATCTACCCCCGGACTTTTATTACCTCTGTCGCCCGCTGCGTCCTCCCAAAATGGCTTTTTTGGCAGACGGCGCGTGGTGTCCTTGGTCTGAGCCGTAATTACAATAAAAGATATGCTGGTGGCCCTGGAGAGTCAATGAAATATGGCCTTAACTTTGGAGTGGAGTGCCAAAATCCCAGCATCCTCCTTGGCTCTTCAGTTTCACAGATGGCAACCTGGTTCTGGGTGCATAGCTACAGCGGAGAGAAGAGGCTTGACTTCTTGTTCGGCCTTGGTTTAACCCAATGGGGCATTTTTTTTTAAGTCCGGCCAAGGTCAGCTGTTCGTACCCAGTCCAAGAAAGCACTCGGGCAGTCCTGCTACTCCGGATGGATGGCTTATGTATAGTCACTTAATGACCCAATAACATAGCCTCAGTATTCGTTTCTAATGAGAGACTCCCAGTTGCCCTTATATAATTGCGTGCCTAAATTATGGTAAATGAGTTCTTTGAAACAAGCCCCTTATAATTGTTGCAGACCCCTGAGAAGACCCCCTGCGATGATGCTGTCTTATGCAGGCTGCCATGTTTTAACTTAAGGTCAACTGTTTTTAGAGCCTTACTTACTCTTGCTCTTATTTCCCAAGGCAGTGGTTAATGTTACAGATTATGGACGACAAGGCACTTACACGAGCAATTATAGAAAATTACACATTGATTGGAAAGTCAAGCATAAATTGTCATTGATTTTCTAAACTTTTGTAAATAGGCAGAAATGACCCAGATTCAATTGATCTTCCTGGGTCCTCCCCACAGCTGACGAATTGGGTCATGTATTTTCGGAAAAGGGAGACGCAACTGCAGATGTAAGAACAACCCGCTGTTCTCTCAGTGTGACACTTGGTCTACTTTCAGTATGGTCAATAATCAATAATGCATTTGCTTCTAGTCTAAACCCAATGTCTTCACAGGAAATTTAGTTCAACCAGAAATAGCCACTTGATTCTCCTCACTCCATATTAATCAACAAGGTGGAGACTCTATGCACCTCTCCTAATGTAAATCTGCCTTTGTTTCACAGCCTTAAAATCAATAACATTAGTTTAAAATTGATATAACAGGGAACAAGCATCAGGCTGTTGCAACACATCATGTTTAAAAGTACAATAAGAGGAGCCAAAGAAAATGAGGACAGAAGAAGTGGGCCAAGCAATGATACAAACAACATATGGACTCTGAAAGCCACTTAGGGATTTATTCAGAAAACAAAATATAACTGTATTGTAGCTGCTCTTTGCTGTTAAAGGAGACATGTGCTGAGTCTAAATTATTCTCTCATCAAATCATCAGGAACTTTCTAGCTCCACCCCTTCCGTCTAAAAGCTCCTGTAATCGTATCAGTTAGAGCCGTTTTCTGCCTTTAAAAAAAAAAGTTTGTCTCATATATTAGTTGTGGCCATTTTCTATGTAAAATTATGTTCTTTACAAAAAACAAAAACAAATTTAAATCCTCTCTCTGGTGATGGCATAAAGAGTTACAGGCAGAAATGTTTGTGCTTGTTTCATCATCAATTTTCTACTTACGATATTATTTAACATTCTATAACATGGAATGGCATGGAAATAGAGAGAATGAGAATGCGTCATATTTGCTCTTTAAATTAGACCTTAACACAGAGGAGTAGAAAGAACTGACGCAATATAAAATGTAATCAATTTTGAGTGTTATTTCTTCCTCCATAGAAAAGTCACTGACGCTTTAACCCTTCACCTTCCATCCTGCACAAAATGTAAATGTCTTTTACCAATTACAGGAGGTCACATTGTAAATATGGCCTTGTTCTTTTAATACAAATGCTTAAATTGTTGCAGGCTGATATTTTCTTGATTGCAACCGTGTGGAACATTAAGTAGTGCAGGAGAAAGTTGAAGGTCACTTTGAAGAGGTTTGTTTGCATGTGTTTTTTAATTACAATATAGCTCCAATTGTTTACATCAAAAATCAGCTAAAAGCCTCTCTGCTCCCCTCTCCGCTCCCCTCTCTGCGTTATTAAACCCTCTGCGGCTGCACATACTTGACTCCGCCGCCGACACGCTGCGATCGACTGCTGATGAGGTTGACATGGCAACCCGACGTCACTCATGCGGCCGTGCATGAAAGGTCATGCTGTTTGTGGAATTATATCGTATACGCCTCAAAGTTCACTCTACGTAGTCACTTCGTCGAGAGTCCCTTTTTGTGTTGCTAATGACTTTTTTCCCAGGCTGTGACAAATAGAGCATCTTTTCCCCCTTTTTTGTGCCGGAGGTAATCAGCAGCGTCCTCTGTGATTGTATTTTAATTAAAAGCCACCATTTTAATCATCTCCGGTGTAGTGTCAGGGAAAAGGGGATGTGTTGTTATCGTTTTCCCTGCCGATCAGACGCGCACACGGACGAGCACGCGCACATTGACAGACTAACCATGCTTGGCTGGATGCTTCATTAAATGGAAGGCCATAATTAATATTGAGAGCTGACAAGGCTGCCCAGAGAAGCCGATGAATTAAGCAGGAAGTGATGAGGAGGTAAACTTGAATGGACAGACACTAATTGCACAGGGGTGAGATGCATGGTCCAGGGGGACAGCCACAAGCAAACGCACTTCACTGTAAAGTTTGTCCTTGTCTCTCTTTAAGACAGGTGTACAGTCCAGCAGACAGTGAAGCCATCAGTCCAGACCTCCTCATTCAGCACCCCAGGCCTCCGCTTACTCCAGTCCATTTAACAGTTTGTTAACAGAACTGCGCTCTAAGCCTTGGATGGATTACTTTATTTTCTATTTATGAAAAAACAAGAAATCATAGATTAATATAATAAAGGTCGATTCAGTATTAACAAGTCAGTGTGTATAGAATTTAACAAATCATTTTAGTGGTAATGGTGTGTTTGTTAGTTTGTAGTTTGTTGGTGCAATACAGAGCCCATATAACATTTCTTCACTTGATTATAATACCAATCTTCTTATGCAGCGAATGAGGGAAATATCATGAACATAACTTTTATCAAACACTCAGCGCCATGAGAGACATTGTCTCATGATCGACCCATTAAACAGAGTTATGTGCCAGTGAAGGAGCTGTCATGTGTGTAATCCACTGGTGAAGCAGCAAGTTCAGAACATTCTGCCTTTTATATCTGTGCAAAAGAACAGTTTGATCCACTGTTCTCACTTTGAAACCATTTTGCTGATAAATGAAAGCGTTATCTCACAAAGTGTAATTTTCTGAATTCTGTTGAACAAAATGTGTGCACACATTATGTTACAAGCACCGTGGCAATCCATTTAATTGCTAAAGGGTCATTACAGAAGGCCATAGCCTTGCAAACTTAAAACCAGAAAAGTTTTCATCTTTGCTGCACTCGGCCCCGTCCTTGTGTGAGAATTGATTAACCGAGTCTCCACACCTATCTCTTCTCTCTTATTAAAACCTGACAAAGCCCCTCCTTGTGTTCAGTGTGTTCGTGATTCAGGCCATGGTCTGCTCTGTGCTGTCTGTCGAGGTCATAGGACTGAGGCAGATCCAGCCAACACTCCAGGCCCATGGAACATGTTCAGTGTCCCTGTGTACCCCTATCCATGGTGTGGCGGCTGTATTACATAATTCGACCAAATGATGACTTATTTAACTTCAGTTGTTTGATTTTTTGAGCAAAATTAGCATGTACTTTGCTGAATAGTTTGTTGAATGTTGTTTTCTATACTTTGTAACTACACTAAAGTAACTAAAATATTCCTAATGTATGGGTTTGGGCTTCATTCATTAATATTCTTGCAACATTCATTTAGGGACACGCTGCCCATGGAGTTAGTGTCACAGGCGAGTGGAAAGAGTCACACTAATTGGGGATTGATAGCTGTGCCATTAGTGCTAAGGCTCCCTGATGGCTGCTGGGTAATGTAGTTCTAATGCTGCTTTGTGTGCTCGGGTAAAGATGATCCTTTTACCAGACCAGTCCACTTGAGAACTGGTTATTACGAGTGAGTTCATGTGCAATTTCCCAATCGAAAGTGGTATTTACCATAATTACCAGAGCACATGAAGGCATCATAAGCTCCACTTTCATTTTACTGTCACATGTTGTAACATTGGGTTAGTTTGGCTGCTTTTGCAACATTTTTGATAGTTTCACCCAACAATTACTTGATTTTATAACAGAACCATGAGCTGGTCCACCAAAAAGGTAAATCTTAAAATATAGATCTTGCATCATGCTAACCATGCTAACGTCTAATACTGTGAGAATGCTAACCTAATTAGCACCTAGCTTCACAGCTCAATCAACAGCAGTTTGGGCAGTGTTATTGTTTGTTCACATATTTAAACATTGTAAATCATATTGTGCACTTCTCTATTGTGAGATCAATAAAGTTGATCTTATCTTATCATAAATACTTTTGTAAACTTTCTTTCAAATAATAGTTGTACAGATGTGTGGAATTTAGAATCAATCTCATGGACATTCATCATCAAATTCTAACTAATTTAACCTAAATACACTGAAGGCAGCCGGCAGCACAGATATCAGGGGATTTTTCGGTTATGTTTCAAAATAGTGCTGTAGAAATATAGGTCCTAAACAAATTGATAAGCTCTTGATGCAGTACTCACAGTAAAATCCCTCTTTCCCCTCAAATTTGTTTTTGTACCCTATACTTTACCAATATAGTAAAAATTTCAACTTTGACCTTTCTGATATTAATCTTCATATACAGTGACCTACAAACACACCCCAGATTTACAGTGTGGTATTTTCTTCCCCATTTCAGAAGTGCTTTCATTGCTGTGTGAAATTATGTCAAAACGTATGTTGGCCCTCGCTTACTCATTTATCTCTCTTCTCTTCATGTTTCTCACCTGCAGGCTGCCTGTTCGAAGACGAGCTCTGCACAAGATATGAGTTCTGCGTCAACGGTAAGTCCTCCTCCAGGAGCGTCACACACGGGGGCTGCACCAGTCACAATTAATCAGAATCAGAATCAGAATCAGAATCATTTTTATTGCCAACGTAAGTAACGGGAGGTCACAGACTTGGAAATTGCTTTGGCTCAGTGCAACAGTCGAAAAGAGATAATAAAAATAAGAATAAAAAACACTTCTAAAGAATAAATTTAAATTTAAAATAGAGTTACAGTTACTATTTACAATATACAAGTGCACATGGTGCACACAATGTAAGGTGACAGCAGTACAGTGAAGTAAAGTGACGTATGATGGGCAGTAAAGTGACTTTATAAAGGGCGGGGGGACAGGTTAAGAAGTGTTCAAGAGTCCAACAGCAGAGGGGAAGAAACTGTTCTTGTGGCGGGAGGTTCTAGTCCTGATGGACCGCAGCCTCCTGCCTGAGGGGAGTGGTTGGAATAGTCCATGTGCAGGGTGAGAGGGGTCGGCTGTGATACGACCAGCCCGGCCTCGAGCTCGGGCGACGTACAGGTCCTGCAGCGATGGAAGGCTGCGGCCGATCACTTCCTCTGCAGAGCGCACAATGCGCTGTAGTCTCTGTTTGTCCCTGACTGTGGCTCCAGCGAACCACACGGTGATGGAGGAGGTGAGGATGGACTCGATGATGGCCGTGTAGAACTGCACCAACATCTGTGCAGGCAGCTTGGCTTTCCTGAGCTGCCGCAGGAAGTACATCCTCTGCTGGGCCTTCTTGATGAGGGAGCTGATGGTCGGCTCCCACTTGAGGTCCTGGGTGATGGTGGTGCCCAGGAAACGGAAGGACTCCACAGAGGTGATGGGGGAGTCCATCACGGAGGGTGGGGGCGGGGGGACAGTGCTCTTCCTGAAGTCCACAATCATCTCCACTGTCTTCTGGGCGTTCAGCTCCAGGTTGTTACCACTGCACCAGGACACCAGCCGGTCCACCTCCCTCCTGTAGGCGGACTCATCGTTGTTGGAGATGAGTCCAATGAGGGTGGTGTCGTCCGCGAACTTGATCAGCTTCACGGAGTCGTGGCTGGAGGTGCAGTGGTTGGTGTACAGGGAGAAGAGCAGGGGAGAAAGAACACAGCCCTGTGGGGCTCCTGTATTTATAATCCGAGAGTCCGAGACATTCTTCCCCAGACGCACTCGCTGCTTCCTGTCCGTCAGGAAGTCAGTGATCCACCTGCAGGTGGAATCGGGCACGTTGAGCTGGGAGAGCTTGTCCTGGAGCAGGGATGGCAGGATTGTGTTGAAGGCAGAGCTGAAGTCCACGAACAGGACCCTGGCGTAGGTCCCCGGGGAGTCCAGGTGCTGTAGGATGTGGTGGAGGGCCAGGTTAATGGCGTCGTCTACAGATCTGTTGGCTCTGTAGGCGAACTGCAGGGGGTCCAGGAGGGGGGAGGTGAGGGACTTGAGATGGGAGAGAACCAGGCGTTCAAATGACTTCATGACGACAGACGTAAGTGCTACAGGTCTGTAGTCATTGAGTCCTGTGATCCTGGGCTTCTTCGGGACGGGGACAATGATGGAGGATTTGAAGCAGGCCGGGACATGGCAGGACTGCAGAGAGGAGTTGAAAATGTCCGTGAACACAGGAGTAAGCTCACTGGCGCAGTGTCTCAGAGTGGCCGGAGACACGTGGTCCGGGCCAGGAGCTTTGCGGGGGTGCAGCCTCAGGAAGAGTTGTTTAATCTCTTTAGCGGCTATTGTTAGGCTGGGGGCAGGGCTGATGGGTGGGTCGTTAGAGTAGTGGGGGGTGGGGGAGGGAGAGGTGTCAGGGGCAGCATCAAAGCGACTGAAAAATAAGTTCAGATCGTCAGCTAGCTTGTGGTCATCAGCACAGGGGGGGGCTTTGGGTTTGTAGTTGGTGATCTCCCGTAGGCCCCTCCAGACAGAAGCAGTATCGTTGTTACCAAACTGCTCCTGTAGTCGTTCTCTGTGCCGGGACTTGGCTGCTTTCAGTTCTTTCCTGAACTGATATTTAGCTGCTTTGTAGCCGCTGCGGTCACCCTCCCTGAAAGCAGACTCCTTTGCTTTCCTGAGCTGCCGGAGTTTAGCAGTGAACCAGGGTTTGTCGTTGTTATAGATGACCCTGGTCCTTGTTGGAATGATGCTATCCTCACAGAAGTGGATGTATGACGTCACAGTGTCCGTATATTCATCCAAGCTGTCTGTGGCAGCTCTGAAAAGGTCCCAGTCTGTAGATTCCATGCATGCGCGCAGCTCTTCCACAGCTTCATCAGACCACACTTTGGAGCTCCTCACTGCAGGTTTCGAGAGCTTTAGTCTCTGTCTGTAAGCAGGAACCAGATGTATCATGGAGTGATCTGAGAAGCCGAGGGCTGGCTTGGGAACAGCGCGAAAAGCTCCGCGCACGGTGGTGTAACAGTGATCCAGAGTGTTCTCCTCTCTGGTCGGGCATTTGATAAACTGTCTGTATTTGGGTAATTCCTGGCTCAAGTTTCCCTTATTAAAATCCCCCAGGATAATAATCAGAGAGTCCGGGTATAAGCGTTCCATACACAGTACTTGCTCTGCGAGTGCGCGCTGGGCCTCGCGCGCGTCCGCGCATGGCGGTATGTAAACAGAGGCAAGAATGAATGAAACAATTTCCCGCGGGGAGTAATATGGTTTACAATGGATGAAAAGATATTCCAGAGCAGGAGAGCAGTGCTTGGAGATCACTGTCACATCGTTACACCAGTTTGTATTGACGTAGAAACAGAGCCCTCCGCCTCTGCTCTTCCCTGAGAGCGCACAATGGCGATCCGCGCGAAACAGCCCAAAGCCCTGCAGCTCCAGAGCGCAGTCCGGGATCCGCTCATTTAGCCAGGTCTCAGTGAAGCAGAGGACACAGGATGTGGCGAAGTCCTTGTTTCTTCTCATGAGCAGGCTGAGTTCGTCCATCTTATTGCCCAGTGAGCGTACGTTGGAGAGAAAAATGCCGGGGAGAGCCGTGCGCGCTCCTCTCCTCCTAAGACGCACGAGCAGGCCTCCTCGCTTTCCCCTTTTACGGGCCCACACTTTTTTGGCTAGAACATGAACTAAAACAGCCGCAGATGCCAAGAAAACAGGCAGTAGGTCCATTAGCCACATTCTTTCATATTCAAACAGCAAATGGTCCTGTTGCATGTTATATCAATCTGGCTATTCCTAAGAGCATTGGAGTCAAACTGGTTCCAGAAAGGGCTTAGGGTTAGGAGTCCAACCACACAGGGACTTGTGTGGTTGGACTAAAATCTGCAGCCACACTTGCCCTTTAAGGACCAGTTTGACATCCCTGCCATAGTGTTACGAAATCACTGCAGATGTCAAAAATAGGCTCATACGTAAGAGCTTAGATAAGGTAGTATTTATCTAATTCAAGTCCAGTCTTAACTTACTTGAAAGCCAATGGTATTTTTAGTGAAAGCTTGCTTGCCATTTATCAATAAAACATTGTACATTTCTCTCCTAAATTTAGAATTCTCCTGTAGTGCTCTTTGAACATGATCCCGGCTTCATAACAGAAATCGCAAAGTGAATTGTAATCGTTCTTGTTATCTGAAAAATCACAATTAGATATTCCTTTAGAATCGTGCAGCCGTGCCACACACCCACCACGTCTCATTACAGAGACACATCCGGCTCGGTCACAGCCGCCATCAAACACATGCAGTTATTTTTAGGGGTTTGCCGTGGGCTTTCCATTCACAGACCTGTGTAGGATTATGTTTGGAGCTTTTGTTTGACATGTTTTTGTGCCTATTATGCACTGAGGTTTCCCATCAGCACACAGACGAGCCCTGCTTTTATGGAAGATGCCCCTCTAGTGTCAGGTTGCCATGACAACCTGCATCCGATGAATGGGGAGACTTCTGTTTTTTTTCTCTGCTTCGTGCGATTTCCGGCCCCGTCACACACCTGGGTTTAACTTAGAAAAAGGAATGATGCTGTGTCCATATCAGGCCCTGTTTGTCAGAGAGAGGCCGTATGAAAGGCTAATGCAGGCTGTGGCTCTACATGTTTGCACTGGGCAAATACCGTGAGCAAATACCTCGTGATTATCGGTAAACACACTAATTTCTATCAGGAGCCGGAAAATGTTATAGTACATTTACAAAGCTCATGATGTCTTCTCGATGTTTAAATATTTGTTTGTTTCATGCATTTTCTTTGACAAATTACAAAACGAAGGATAGTTTTAACAGTATTATGACTTTGACCAAATTTTCTTTTTTGCCAATATTTCATAAATGGGTTGCAGTATACTAGTCTATTTACAGTACATTAAGTCCAGCATATTTGATAATAATAATAATAATAATGATAATGCATACCATTCATATCGCACTTTTCATGGTACCCAATATATTATTATTCATGAATATATGAGTATTAATTTAAACTCTAAATGAGAGTCTATTTAGGATATGTTTTATTAAGGATTACTACCTGGGTTTAATGTTTTGTACCACTTTCTAATTTTGCATAGTTTACCCTAACGGAAATGAAGAAATGGCAGTGAAAAGACATCTTAGCTGTAGTTGTGGTGTATCTGTACTAAAACAAGCAGATGAGAGAGAAGGATATTTTTCACAGGCATTGTTGTATTTTTGATTAATTTAAAAGATCAAAACATATCATAGTGAAGGTTTAAAGAAACAAACCACATAATAAAAATTAAACAAATGCGTTGCTAAAATTGTAGACTATATTCGGCAAATCTATGATAGAAACTCTATGTCTTTTCGCAATTTTCTCATTAACCCAGTTTGAGCTGCGAGAGGAAAGGACATGCAGCGCCATGGAGAAAAAAAGCCCTCTTTAATTACACACTGACTGCTCTGGTTTGGAGCAATGCCTTGTAGCCTAATAGAACAAAATTTGCTGACAACTCGCTGAAAAACACCCCAAGGCTCAGGACGGAGGCTTCATTTTAAGTTCCGCTTATCAGGCACGCTCATGAGCATATTTCTCTGTTGCTCTTCTAGTTTTCCGCCCAAACCTCATACACCGACATGTTTGCGAGCTTTTGGCGGTGTGATTGCGTTTGGTGCATGTTAGCAGCAGTGGAGTGACGAGGCTGCTGGACTCCTGATGAGCGGACCAGACAGGGCACATGGGGGGGTAACTAGGTCTGGCACTTTCTCGCCTCCCTCAAGGACTAACCTGGTTTTCACAGGGTTGGGCCAATCACTCGCGCTGTTGCTAAGGAGAAGTGCTTGACGAGTTACAAAAGGGAGCCTCTTTCTGTGTCAATCAATATTTGTTTTTGTGAGGCTCCAATCTCCGTGTATTTATCACGTTACGTCTCACTGGCAAGCAATTCAAATCTACTCTGCTTTTAAATGCAATGTAATTACCACTATGCTGGAAAACTCATTACATTTGATACATCTCTCCTGTGTGTTGTGTGCTTTGCCGCAATGATAAGCCAAGCCAAAGTACAGAAGATAAGTGGTCCACGCTCCCCTCGGACATGGTTGGCTCCTATTAAACACTTAACCAAGGCTTTTTTATATTGATTGGTGGTTATCTTACTTCCTCTTAGGCCAATATTGTCTGAAATACTTGTAATTTATTTCAGATTTAAATGCTTTGGCCGACACTTGTATCGATCGTAAGCCCACAACATCTGCAAGCACAAACACTTTAAACAACTACATTTCAAAGAAGTAATAAAACCAGTGGAAGTAAAACCATTATTTAAAAAGTGCATTATACCAACTTTCTTTAAGTGCACACTGTGTAACATACTGTAATTGTTTACATGTGGTGGTATGAGGCCAAGAGGAATGTATGTATTGTGTTGCTGTGACCTATCAAACATGATACCAATCCAAGATATAACAACGTTTGTCTGATTGATAGATAAAGTCATAACACTCCTTATTGGTTGCTGCACACACCCATGGTCACATGCACACCAGAGGATCACTGTAAAAACCAAGAAATACTGGAGTCTGCACACGTTTGAGCAGGATGAGCACCTCAGGGGGCAAGGTTAGGATCCATGTCCCCTGGAGGAAAGTGCTGTGGTGCAGACACTCTGAGAACAGCTCCAGAAAGCCTGGATCCAAATCAGAACTTAGTCCAGATCAACAAGACAGAGAGCTGAGGTGATCAACGACTGAGACACTGTCAGAGGTAAAGCTGAAGCTTCAAGTTTAAGGAGCACAGCCATAGACATATCGAGATCCACTCCCTCTCCAGCACTGCTGTGTGGGCAGGAGCTCTCCTCTGCTAATAAGATGATTGACAGACAGAAGAAGAGATTGGAGGAGCAGGACACGGTGACACATGATCTGTAGATGTGTCTGCTGTGTGAGAGCTCTGTCAGAGAACATGAGTCTGAACGACGAGAGCCGCACTGAAGAGAAGAGAGGAGCTGCTCCGAAAGGTGAAGGAGCTCAGCTGGAACTCACAGCAGCTTCACAGCAGGAGGTCTGCTGCCTCAACATAGAGAAGGAGCCTGAAAAAAACTCTGGAGAGTTTGAAGAGAAGTGCGGAGGCCACAGACACAAGCACATGTGAAGGAGCAGAGGTGGGCGCTCAGGAGCCATCGACAAACCACCTCCATCCTCCTCCAACCACCTCCAGCCATCGCAAGACATTATACATACATGAATAAGGTTTAAACATTTCTTTTCACAATTCATGATAATACTAATAAAATGTAAATTGTTGAAGAAAACTTTTTTTAAAAAATTCATTTATTATAGACAATGGATCAGATAAGAACAAGGAAGACAATTCAGTCAGGTCATACAGTGCAAAAGATACTGGACAAAAAGTGAATGTACGGTTCATGTGCACATACACACTTCTGCCTTGCATAATTTACGTACAGCAGAAGTTACTCCTTTGATATTGAGAACAGTTGAATATGACGCACAAACCATTATTCCTCACTGTTGAAGGCTGAAGTTACACGCTACACACAATCTGACATACAAAATGCAGTACATTTGCGTTCAGCGGATGAAGTAAACTATAGTGTTGATAACCTTTTAAATCTACAAATAACAATAATAATAGAAATATGTATAATTAAATTAGCGTGGTGTGTTTTATCTCGACAGCGTGCTTGTTCTCCCTACTGCTTTTTATTTTCATGTAGATTTGAAGTGCATGCATTATTCAAATGATCATTTCAAAGGCTCCGTTTTGAGAAAGCCTCTTATCGCTCACGTCTTAATCATTGTGGATCTCTCTCTTGTGCACCTGAACAGCCCCACTGCATTGATAGCGGCCTGTTCATTTTGGATGACACTCAACCAGCACACACGCCACACACTACACCTGTTTTAATACGTCTTCATTTGTCTCCGGGGCCGGCTGCTCCTCCCTCCGCATGACTGTCACAGCATTCGTGTTTGCTCCTGTTATCCCCCAGCATTAGCCTTCACAGTTTAAACAGATTTAGCCGCACTACTGTCTGTTCCGGTGCAGGCTGAGAAAGCATTAGGATTTAGTGCGTCTTACCCTTTTGCCGGGAAATCTGAGCGCATCAACAACATACAAGCCATAGTGTGATTTATTGGCGTGTGCAGCATAGGTGAACCACGTGATTGATTCCAGGGGCCAGTTTCATCCATTATAGAGTAAACAGCTCAAGGTTCATTTGCATCGTGTGCCACTATTCGACTTGTCATCAGCTTAATATTTCTTTAACGCAGACAGATGATCGTTACAGAATCCCTGTCTTGATCGTTACAGAATCCCTGTCTTATAGATTTTCACATTCTGCCAAGTTGCGAAGGTGCCGGGCCATCATCTCCGGGTTTCCTTGTGCACATTTCACATACTTCATGCCGCCTCATTTTTATTTTGTGTTCAACTTCTGTGAACCTTACTCCGTGGTAGTCTCCCAAGCCTGAAATTAAAATGTTTTGTTGCCAAGAATGAAGTGTCAGAGAACTGCTTTGCGATTTCTCATGCGTGTGGCTCTGAAATGTTAGCGTCTCTCCTACTGAGCCGCACCTGTAACACCTCAATAAATCAGCGATTATATTTCTATCACAGTGTCTGCCATGTGCGGGATACTTGGTCTGTGTCTTCTATGAGTTTGTTTATTGTGGATCCCTAGTAGCGCACTCAAACTATTCTATCTATCTATCTATCCCCTGTATCTAGGAACTTGGTATCAATAGGATTTCTTCTTGCACAGTTGTTACAATGGCCACTATTTAATTACCTTGCATTGACACCTTTCTTTGACAAAAAAAACATGTCAAAACAGCTCATGTTGAAAAATATTATGAAATGTTATGAAATATTAGACAGAATGGTAAATTGAGATGTCAAGAACGCTAGACTGTAAGTAGTGTATTGTATGTGTCACTCTGTGTGTTCCAGTGGATTACATACAAGTAAAAAATAGAAGCCTGATGCATCACAAAATCAAACCCACGCCTTATTTTGAAGTTGTTGTTTTTACGGTTGATATTTTTCTTTTTTTTCTTAGCACAGAAAAACAGCTTGCTTCCTTACTGTATTTGCACAACCCTGACATGTCCTTGTCCTGCATGTTTTCTTGGAAATGTTATTCATGTGGCCTTAATGTTTCATAGTTTCTCCAATGTATGTTGTTCCAGGTGAGAAACTTGAAGGGGTGTGAAACTGTGAAATTAACACAAAATGTTCTAAATGATTTGACATTTTCCTTTTCAGATCTATGATGGTGGTGTTGTTTAAACTATACATTGAAACCCTATAGATGGCACAATGCTTCATGCACAAAAATGTGTGTGTATAGTTTGAATGATGAGAATATGATTAGTGGAACACCGGGAGAGCTGGCACAGTGAGAGGAAGGTGGCATGTTGTGATTCAGACACATCTGTCATAATCTGTGTCACCCAGAGCTTCCTGCTGCTCCATATGAAATCCTAAAATAACTTGATGCTGTGTGCACCATGTGTATGGTAATCCACCATCTCCCACGGGTCTGTCTCAGAACAGAGTTGTCATTTATCGGGTCAGAGGAACCGCACAGAGGCAGGAAAACACCCACCTCTGCTGCAGAATTAGAATTTCACTTAGAGATCCCGTCTGACATCACATCATTATCTTGGTAATTATTAGTCTCAAAGCATTGAGGCGAGCACAGAAAATGACTGCATGTTGGGGACATGAGTTGTAATGTTTGTGTATAGTACAATGCCCAAAGTGTCAGCAACTATCAATCATAGCATTGATGTTTGTTGTCCGACATCTTTGGCTAATTAATGGAGTGCTCTGGTGCATGACAAAGTGTTGATTCACATCATTAAGTCCCAGCATTGTGAGGCATCTGCACTATGTCCTCTCAGAGTGATGCTGTGGACACACTTGAATGTGCTCGGGTCACTACACATTCCACACCTGCAGGATTCATCCCCACAGACCTTCTGTGAGGTGGACTCTCATCAGAGTTTAGCCACAGCAGTCACATGTCTCACTACAGCTGAGAGGGAGTCATTCATATTCCATGCATTACATCTCCACACCACGTCTGCAAGCCTCCGAGCTTTCAGAGGGGTAGACCAGCCATTGAATGATGAGGCTGATAAGGACTCGGTGGCGTTGGTTGCCTAGCAACCTGTTTTGAGAGAGGCGGGCGGGCGCTGATTGGGAGATTACCCAGACTCTGATAAAGTCCTTTCTGCCATGAACGCCTCCTTATCTTAGTGCTGTCAGAGGAAAATGTCAGCTATTAGCCTCCTCAAAGCAGGGAATTTGGGGTACAGGGGCATGCAGCTTGTCAACAGTCTTTTCTTCAGATCCCACATGTAGTGAATGCAAAGCCTCCAAATGTTGTCCGTGATGCAAGCTCACACAAATGTCTGTGTTTGTGCAGATGGAGTGTTCGGACAGTGCCAGGAGTTGGCAGGCGGAGACCTCCACACTTATGACATCTCCTCGTCAGCTCTGCAGCGCCTCAGGATTCTCCTGCAGAAACTGGCTCACAGAGGTGCGGCTCCACATCACTCTCCCTACAGCTCTTATCACTCATGTACAGGGCTGCGAGCAAGGCTTGTCAACTGCCATTGTATGCCTCACACCAAATAGCCAAGCTGTCTCTTTTGGCGTGCACAGGACAATGCCATTGAGCTGAACAGGTCATTTGACTCACAGTGGCCATTGTTTAGCCATTATTGCCCAGCTCCAGCAGTCAGTCTAATTGGCCTGTATGATAGGACATTTACAGCTAATTTTGTGGATGAGTAACTATGAGGTGTGCAGTGTAATCACATCAGCCAGACTCCTCCTCAATCACTGCCTCCTCTAAATGTCCATGTCCTATCAGTTTACATCAGTGGAGAGACACTCTGTATGCAGAAAGAAGCAAAAAATTAAGAACCATTGTGGCCCCACATTTATTCATCCAAACACCAAGCTTTGTTCATTGAAACCCCACTTTTCAGGTCTCATGGGACTAAGATATTCAACTGTGTACTGAGGAAATTATTCACTGCTGGCAGTGACCCCAAAGACTAACCTAAGAACATACAGATGAAGTCCCATGACGTCTATGAGATGTAGAAACATGAAAGGGCAGCTTGCCTCCACCAGGGGGCAGTAGATGTCTTTAACACAGACCGTGACCAGCTTACATTAGCCTTTCAGACATAATTGGCTTTACGGGCCAGTCTCAGCTTAATATTTTTAACAGGCGTGAACCAGTGTTGAAAATCATTAAGGGCGAGCAGTCAGCAAGAGTCTTATGAAACAGAAAAAACAGTGCTGAATATTAAACCTGGCAGGACCACACATTTATAGTAATTACTGTTCACAAATAAACACATGAAAGCAAAGACATCCTGTGTGTAATTTCCCATGCTTAGTTTGAGAGGGTGATAGGTTTTTGCTTTTCATCTTTCGAGGTAATGATATTGTGACCTTGTGTTTGTAGACATCTCTTTAGCACTGCAGACATGACATCATCACTCCAAATAATTTTTTCTCCATTTGTTCTCTCGCTTTAACATTCCCGGGGCAGAGGCTGTGGATGATCTGCAGTGCACGGGTAATGCTAGGTGACACCTTATTCTTATCAGCTATAGAAGTGTCGTCTTTGAGCCACAACCAGACAGGGCGTTAGGACCATTGCACTGTAAACTAAATTGAAGAGATGAAGGGGGAGGAAAAATGTGGACAGACATCAATGGAATCAATGTACAATCCTCTTTATCTCGTATTAGAGGCACAGGTAGAAATCACACAATCTGTGCTCACTGAACAACACCAATGTCACCTCGATCAATAGTGAGCGACCCCTTCACAAAAGGGCTGGACTTGTCAAGATGTGTCCACACTGGCCGTTTACAATGTGTATTAAACTACAAGACAAAAATAAAAGAAAGATATGACTGATTTCTATGGTGCATTCAGAAGCTAGTGTGACCCTACAGTTTTTCCTACTCTGTGTCCACATTTTGTCTCGCCACAACCACAAAGATAACATTATTTATTTTGCAAGGTATGTGAAAGAATAACACAAAGTGACGTAAAATACAGTAAGTGATTAGAGAGAGAGAGAGAAATAAATAAACCAGAGGAAATCTCCCCAGACACAGGGAGAATATGCAAACTCCACTCTGAAAAGCCCAGGAAGGCGCAAAAGCCGGTATTTTCTTAATGAGGCGCCGGCTCTACCCACTGTTACCTTTATGGACGTGTGGCAGTTTGAACTGTTAATCTGGTTGTGGCAGCATCATCCTGTGGGGCTGCTTTTCTTCAGCAAGGACAGGGAGGAGTGGCAAAGTTGACGGGTAGGTGGTTGGTGCAAAATACAGACAAGGCAAGGAGATATGGAAAGATAAGCACTGTTTACAAATGTCTGTTTATATATTTACAATCGTAACATGGATACATGGGTATACTATGGATACTTTTTCAAGGTACTGTATCATGATCACATTTTCTGCCAATACCTCCATGACCTGTTCCATCACCGTACAAGTTTGATCTTGTGGAATGATCCTGGTTTCATTCTATAGACGCATAGACGCATATGTTATTTGTTGAGCTTCTTTATCACAAAAAATAAAAAAACTTTATCACAATTCAACATCAATTTATGTGTTTCAAATTCCCTGCATTAGCTTGAAAAAAGTCTTCATTGGACAAAATCATCATGTTCCAGTCGTATGAAATAATGGAACAAGATACGGATGGGATTTGGGACAGAAAGGCTTCATTTCTGTCCTAAGTTATTGCGTAACTGGAAATAAGATACGATAAGTAACTTTATTGATCTCACTTTGGAGACATTTCCATAGATAGAATCACTCAGTGGAAAAAGACAAGAAGTGTGCAAACATTAAAAGGTTAAAATATAGTCCCTTTTGTGCAAGATATATTATGTACAATAAAGTGACTATAGCAGTGCGAGTTTTTTCAGTACATAGAGCATGAAGAATTTTAAGTTCTTTGTTAAGGTGTGCAGTTATAATAATTACAATAGTTATTTGACCTTACATCTGGTTTCTACCAATACACAAAGAAAAATAATAATAATGTCACCACAAAATAAAAACAACAAACAATGAGTTGCTATAGTAACACTGCATTTCCTCCTCTGGATCTGTCTCCGGTCTGTCCGTGGGGGCGGACGTGGGGGACATTTACGGACATTTATGAACATTTATTTACAGACATTGGTTTTCCCACTCTCTATGGACCAATGGCTTCTATGTGTTTGTTATTAATGCTTTTCTGTGTTCGATCTGTTGTTGGCAAATCGACAACTTAATGAATACAATAATAAATGGAATTGAATGGGACTGATTGGTTTCTCGCAATCCACATAACCCAAAAATCTTTATATTTTTAACTGTTCAAAATCAGAGCACTCCCTCCGTGGGCTTTATGACACAAATCAATGCATGACCACCCTGAATCACATCTCCATTCCGTATCTCCGTTCCGTGTAGACTGCACTAGCCCGCAGTGGATGGGCGCGCTGACCTCTGCAGAGCAGCGTACTCCTGCCGTCTGCAATAGCACTGATGTACGATGATGCGTTGTGACATGCGTGTTGCCTTCATTGGCAGGTAGAGTCAGTCAGGAGAAATCACGGCTCTCAAACTGACATGTCATCTAACCATAGCCAAGCATCATTTTACCTCTTTGCTCTTGCGTCCAATGAACACTCCACGGTAATGTTCTCTGACAGAGGAGCAGAGATGTGAGCCTAACTGCACTGAGGTGGTCAGGTCAAAATGCAAGCATACAGGATTAGGACCAGTCTAACCTACTGGAGACAAATGCTTGCATAAGAATCTCCAAGTCTGCTTTATATACTATTTTTTTGATCCTGGAAATGTAAAAATCTGCTGATATTACTGATTTGAATGGATGATTTCATTATTAACCCTTGATAGCTGACCTGATATGAAGTTTTTAGGGAGAGAGATTGGAGGTGACGGTTGATGCTCTCTCATTGTATCTCGGGACCAAAGACAATAATTTCAGTTTGTCCGTGTTTAGCTGAAGAAAGTTGTTTTTCATTTGTGAGTGTTAATAAAGGTCCTTTAATGTCCCGGATCACCATTGTCTTTAGACCTTTCTGCATCGGCAAGGAACGACTCAGATTTATTCCAACCATGACATGAGTGAATGAAAGGTTCCAAATGTATTCCAATATCTATCTGCAGACTTGGTTTAATTTATGTGTCATATTAGGATTGACATATTTCATTTTGACTAATTAGGTTGAACTTGCTGCTAAATTATTCACACTCTCTTCTATTAATTCCTTTAAAATCAGTTGGTGGACAGAAGTAAAGAAAAGGGGAAAATCTGCATTTCAAAAACAGCAGATGAAACAAGTAGACATGTAGAAAAAGTCCCATCTAATAGGCTTTGAATATTTAGGAGACCCTCACACTCTCCGTCACACAGCAAACAGACAGGAGAGCGGCTTGTTTGAAAGCTGTTGCGCTAATGCTACAGCGTTAATTAACTGAGGCATTTGCCTGAGACGGCCTGCTATCCTTAACTGGAAAAAAGTGGCAGCACTTGGTGATAGACCCTGCTCTTTCCTTTGGACCTGCAGATAAATTTGCATGACATTTAGATTCTCATTGCCAGCATAATCAGCTGAGAGGTTGATTGAGAAGACTTGGAGCGTAAAGGTCCCACCACATTTTTATCCTGGCTTTGAACAAAATGCCTCATTTTGGTGGTGTCATTTGCACAAGCATACCTTTTCCCTGAAGTGCGCCCACAGCCGACACATACACATATATGTATGGAAATGAGTACTTCCCCAGGAGACCTAGGGGATAGAGGTGTCACAGTCAATGAAGCCAGCCACAGCCCTTGGCTTGTTGTGGCGTCTCTGCACGTTTACACTGGAGCCATTTATCCAACTGCAGCTAACTGCAGCAAGCATATGGATCCTTTAGGGTGACGCCTGCTCTAACTTCCCCATCGTGACTTATAATAGCCGAAATGATGATCGCCACAATGAGATATAGTGAGAATACAGCACATTGGGTAAGCTACGGGTAGTTAACTGTCATTGTTGTACGGATGGATGGCTGAGCCTCGTTCCAGAACAGTGACAACATACGCTGCTTTGTGCACCATTCAGTGCTGCCAAGAAAGACTGCCGGCATCTGTAGCTGCTCTGCATAGCTCAGATCCTCATCTGCTGCTTATGAATTTCGATGAGAATAACCAGAGTTTAAGGGTGAACAGCTAAGCTAATAAAGACATTCTGTGGCTTACATATTCTTTACTTCTGTTCTGTTTGTTGACGCCATCCATATTATTAAACATATTTTCTTTCAGATGCCAAGGGGTTAGCAATGTGAAATTTTGGGATTGTAGTGAACAACAGATTGACTCCCTCATTAAAATGTTTCTATATTTGGGTTTGAACTGAACATTGGACTCCCATTTAAGTATAATATCTTTGGTATTGCTCTTTGCTGATGGAATCCCGCGCCTCTTGGCTCATTGGGAAAGGGGCCATGCTTTGGGTATGTATGCTTGGGTAGCTCCATCTGGTCCTGGCACCAGTGTGCTTTGCCCCTGCCCAGGAGTTCTGCATCCCAACTATGTGTTGGCAATTAGCAGAGCTGTTGGCAAGGACCCAGGTTGCAGTGTGTCATTTTTTGATGCTCGTGCTCTGGTTTGTAGGTGTGCGATTGACACAGACTCATGTTCCATCCTTAATCATGTGTATCTTTGCTCATGTGTGATGACTTCTGTATTAATTTTCATCTCCAGGTATGACATGGCAGGATGACCTCACACAACAAGTGATTTCTAGAGAGCTCTCCAAACTCAGACACGTGCCACTCCGCCACCCTGCCCTTCCCCCAGCCGCCCTGACCTCTCCACAAGGCCGGAAACTAAGGCCAAAGCTGAGCCAAAACCTCCAGCAGTACCTATCCGACCTTGGCTTTCTGAACAATTCTGAGCTACCAGCACAACCGGAGCCAGTACCTCAACGAGCAAACACTATCCAGGTAAACATACAAATAAACAAACCAAACAGTCACTTATAGAATGTCCTGCTAAAAGTAACACACACACACCTGTAGATACACACACATGCACACACATACACACACGCACATGCACACACATAATGTATATTAAGACAGATATCTATGGAGCATTATTTAGTGTGTGAGTAATGCACTGTACATTCTCACTGCTGTTGTTAAAAATGGCAGGATCCTTTTCCTCTTCTTCAGAACGCCGCAGTATCTCTCTTAGCTGGGGGTCGCCCTCTTGTTCATGCTTTTGTTTCTGCTCTCTATCTTCTGCAAACCGCCCACTGAGGAGGAACCCTTTTGCACAATGATCCCCCATCACCACTTTACATTATTCAACCCTCATATTTAGGGTGGGACCTCGGCTTTGTGTGCAGTCTGCGAGGCATCCTTCATAGCTGGGCTGCTTCCTGCTGCTGTGTCAGTGCAGCCATAATGCAGAGTTGAAGAGTTCAGGACCTTTCTTATTGATGAGATGAGGCCCTTTGTTGTATAGCGTGATGGAAAAAGGCAAACATGGTTAGCTTGAATGGCAGAGCGCCCCCATCTCACTGTGCTAATGCCATTATGGCTTCTCAGTATGCTGTGCTACGAAAGCCTGACATTTTCTCTATATACGTTTGAAGGACAGAAAATGGCACCAAGGGAGATAGCTAGTATTAGTGCGGCAGGGACATGGATAATAATACCGCTCAGTGGATCGGTTATGCCACTGTCTGCTGAATTGAAGTCTTTACAATTCACACAATGATTTTTTTTTTCTTTTATCTTACAACAAAAAGAAAAGAGAAAATCACACACTTTGGGCCCAATATTGATCCTGGCAAAGATGGGACAGACTTATATGCGACTAACGGTCCCTACGGCTGCTCATCTGTATTGTACATCCATAATTCATGGTACATCACAGTAAGCTCACAGTTAACCCGTAATTTTAGTGTTTAGATAAGGGGGTTTCAGTTGGTCTTATGGCAGCAGGGATGAGCTTTTAAAGTTTGTTGTCTATTGTGAGAAGGCATGAAAAACACTGCGAGATTGACACTATCTCATCTCTGATTTCCATAATGCAATTTCCAAGGGCAGTTGTCTTTGATCTGAAATCCTTATTCATATCCTGTCTTGTCTCACGGAGCCCAAGTTGCTATTTTTATTATAGCAAAGACGCTGAGAGTCTAGGAGAGGACAGCATGATACCAAGAGACGTATTACACAAAATAACTGCATTGTGACCTTTTTATGTTGTAGAATGAAGATTTCAACTCAGATAGTCAGACAGAGTCCAGTTCCAAACCCAAGCATACATGGAAAGAGCATACTATCTACAGCGTTCATAAAGGAGATGGACAACCCCCAATCACTAAAGTCTTTACGAAGAGTGGAGAAGGCAGGCATCCCAAACTTGGCTCTACTTTCTCCAACCAAGGACCTGGACAAGATAAAATGCTATCCGGGCATTTGGAACAACTACTCAATGACATACCCACTAAGACACAACATGAAACTCCTGGAGTCCAAGCTGCATGGCCCAAAGGGAAACTGCAATACTTAAGTTCTGTTCATCCAGCTATAAATGACCAAGACGAGATGAAATCCCAATTAGCTTTTGGGTCAAAATCTTTAAGACCAAACTTGGACAAACTGCTGTACAAAGCAGGCTCCAATCGTCACAACTCAAAGCAGCCATTTGATCTCATGGATGGTAAGTCATTCAATCACTCTTTCTAAGCACATCATTGTCATTAGAATTACAATCCAAACTTTTGTTTCATCTATAATAATCACATTGCACAATTACAATAAAACGGGATGATAAAAAAGCCAATTGAAGTAATTTAACTTCGTTCTTCAGACGTCTTCGTCCAGAGCATGTTGAACCAGCTCGGCGGCCACAGCATGAAGCTGGATTCTTTAATGGGCACAGACCTGGACGACCTGTTTGGGGCCCTCAATGGAGCTCTGCAGGAGGCGCACGAGGAGCATCCTGCCGCGCCTGTGGCCCTGCCTGGAACGGGACCCTTGGACTCCCAGGGGCCAAAAGAAGCCAATGGGGGACCTCTCATGGCGACAGTGCAAAATCAAGAACCGGAGCCACAGAGAGAAGGAGGTGGAAGAGGAGATGTGACAGTCAAACAAAAAGGTGGTTACTTTTTCACTGTAATTCAGTGTTTCTTTTTTGAATATGTTCATACAAAGTGTGCTTTTGCTTTTCAGGGCAGCCAAAAGAAAGTGCGGGCAAACAGCCCGTTGACAAGGTTAGTTTAAGTTCTGTAATACGATCTACATATTTGTTTTTCATGTAGCACATAAACTTCAGCAGAGGTTTTTATTTTGGAGCTCTGATGCTTAAGAATGTAATATATTTTATGTTTGGCCTTGTGCAAAAGCATTTAGGAATATGTTTAGTAATATTTAGACAAAATTACATTTTTAGTTGAAAGATCAGCTTTATCAAAGGATGTTTTTATTCAGCTGAGGAAGGTAAGGAATTAATCATTCTTGATTAAATTTCTTTCAGCATTCAGCGATCTTCTCTAAGCTGCTGAACTATCTCAATATGGAGCCCTTTGATGATGTGCATCATTTTAACAATAACCCCAAAACAGTGGGTCTGGAGAGTGTCCAGAGCAGGACCACTCAAGGCCAGGCTCCGGTGGTGCATCACTGGGAGGAGAAGAGCATGGTGGGCCCTGCCAAAGAGGGCACTGCTCTGCACCAGACCAGTGGAGCTCATGGTCCAGACGCTCAGGTGGACTCAGAGATGGAGAGATGGATGCAAGAGCTGCAGAGGAAGAAACAGCTGCAGGGCTCCAACGACATGAAGCTCAAGACCCAGTTAGTCCACGTGGGGGTGAAGGAGTTCTCCAGCCGAGGGAAGGACCGCCATTTTGGATACATCATCACCGGCTCTGAGTGAGTGTCTGAAATTTCATTATCTTATGAAGCTATACTGTGTTTACACTCTCAAGTCACATTTAGATATTTTGATGTTGCCTCTTTTCTTAAAAGGATGTCCGTCTGCTTTGTCGAACAGGCTTTAGAGCAGTTTGCAAACACTTTGAAACTTTTATTATTTGATGTACACTTAAAAAAGTAAAATAGAAATGTGTTTAAGCTTCAGCAGAAAGGAACTATGGTGGGTTGAAAACACAATTCCTTTGTAAAGCTGCCTAGGTATAAAAGTGCAGTTTAAAAGTACTAAAAAATGCTGGAAATCTTGTTTAGCATTTATTTTTCATCCGTCTGAGACTGACCTGTATACAGTAGAAAGTAATCTTCTTGTTAACCTCCAAATAACCATATTATCATTTCAATGTCTCCATGGTTTATCTACATGTACGTATCTTCACGGTATTATTGTGGTCTTTCTTATGTTGACACGAGTTCAATCCTTTTCAAAACATCTACTTCTCAAACCCTCATTAGCCACCTTATATAAACCACTCTTGTGCACTAAAGTGGTCATTATGTAGTCTTTATGGTATGGCTCACAGCGTCCCCCGCTTCTCTCTCCACTTGTCAGCTGCATATTGGCGCTGTGTCAAAGCCATCTCATTTAAATATCATACATACATCTTTGTTCACTTACTTAAACAGCCTTTAAGAGATTTCTGTCATTCTCACCCACATTATTTACGGGAGAATGCAGTTGTCAGAAATCTTGTACATGTACTGCACTGGATTACAATAGCGACCATGATAAATCCCTCAGTGTGTGGGAATGAGATGACTGTATCACTGCTTTAATTATGACATTTGGCCGAGAATGGGAGCCAAGCTGTACTTCTCAATCTCTTTCACCTCCGGCTCACTGCAGATAAGTTCATATCGACTACGTGTTCACTCCTGGACCGCTTTCAAATCCTTTTATGGCGTTATCAAGACTGGTGTCAGTGGCTTGTCCTTCACCTGCTCAACAGATGCAGCCTATAAAGGTCTGGCGGACACAAATGTTTTACAGCCACGCCAGTAGCAACAACAATTAAGACGTTAGAGGTAAACATAATGTGCCCGAGGCTGAGGAGCAGGTCACCTTCTGGGTCCAATCACCTCCTCTCTGTCCACCAAGAGGACGCCTATAGTCGGCCTATAGAGACTCCTGCCGCAACGCTCATGATTGCACGGTTGTTATCCCCGGCTTCTTCATGCCCCGCAGTGAGGCTACGCAAACCTGCTTATCTGACAGCTCCTGACATTGTGGCGGCAGAGGCACGGAGGGTGGGTGATTTCTGGGGAATAGCAGGAAGGTTTGTGAGCGGGAGAGGGGGATCGGGTAGAACAGAAAGAGACAGAAAAGAGAAGCCCAGGGGAAAAGTGCTAGCATCAACAAGCAAGTCACTCCCAGAGCCCGCCAAGTTGCTAGAATTACCACAGAGGGATGCAAACGTGTCTGGAATGGCTACTGAAAATTGTTAACTTTCAAAACCTCCCTTAAAAGTAAAGTATAGCTCACTGCTGAACGTATAGCTGCATTGAGGATTGGCGACTGCAATGTATAGTCAATTGCCGCTCGACAATACACATTTTCTGCCATACAATTGTTTTTCTCAGTTGAAAAACAGAAAAAGATTAGGTAAACTCTTGCTTGGATTCATGAGTCTTTCTCAATTTGGTGTCAGTGCTAACAAATTCGACCATGGCTGCATTGTGTAAAGCCTCATTACCTATGATCCATGACCTTTCGGCGCCTCACCTTGCCGCCACTCGACTGTCCCCACTTGTTCTAGGTTAAGCTGTCAGCCCAAACTTGTATATGCCTTCTCATTTCCGCCGTCCTGCACATTGGTCTGCAGATTGTCTTTGTTTGGTCTATTTCCTTGGCGATTTACTCTCTGAGTGAAAGTGCAGCGGCCGACAGAGCTGAGATGAGGCATGGCTTTATCAGACCACCATTACACTTCACCTCCTTTCCATTTGCACCTTATTATTCTCATCTCATCCCGGGAGCGCGTGCGTGACCGCGTGCTTGTGTGCGGGGTCGCTATCGTGTTGGACCGCGCGCGCCAGTCAAAGTGAAAATGTGTGTGCAGGACAAATGTGAGGGAGGAGGAGGTGTGTTCATATGATACAGCCATTACACATCATGCAGGTTCCATTTGCACCTTATTGTTTGTCTCATTGCTGGAAAAAGCAGGTGATTTACCAAGCCCGAAGAAGCAGCTGATCCCTTTCCCCCTGGCACCAAGCTTTGTGCACTTGTTTGTGTTTGCGCACCACTGTATGTCCGTCCAACTTCTCTGCGGACACACACACGCTGCAGTCGTTCAGATAGCTCTTGCCTGTGTTCAATGACCCATTTGTGGCTGTGAATAGTGGCAGCATCTTCCTGGAAATATTTTAACGGATGAATAAGCGCATATGTCAGGTTTGGGTATGAACTTGAGATGTGTATGATTTCTCCTCCAGCTCACTGACCACTGACCAGGGCCTGGATCTGATGGAGCGACTCGCACAGCGGAAGGACATCCATGCAGCCGACCTCACTCAGCTTTCGTACGTACACACGAAATCACCATAAAATCAAATATATTTACATCTCTGAAAAAATATTCGATAGGCCTTAAAGAGGAAGAAGAAATATTATGCAGAAAATTTACAGTGAAACATTTCTCTCGGCCTCCCTTTCCCTGTGCTACCACCCGAGGGAAAGGTAGGCTTTGTTTGGCTTCGTTTTTTTCAAATTTGAAAATTATCGGATGCAAACACAGACGTGTGATTGTCACTTGAGAAATGTTCAAAACTAATTTATGGACAATAGTTTTTTTCTGAGTGTGATGCTATTGTGGTACAATGACATCATACTATTACAGGACTTATGCTGCTTTTATGCAATCTTGGAAACTTGGAGCTGGTGATGCTGGTGACAAAATAATGAGACAAAAATGTGTGGAAATTATCTCTTTCATTAGAAAGCCACAGAAACCTTCACTGTTGTATGGAAAATACAGGAGAAAGTACAGTTTCTTATAAATGTGCTTATAATTTTATATAAGCATTATTTTAGATTGGTCTTGGCTTAAATGTTTTTTGAGAATTTTATTTTGTCTCCTTTCTTCTATTCAATTAAAATTTGACACATGTCACACATTCCGGAACTTCCGATGTTGGGAACCCTTTTTCTGAGTTTAATTTCTTACTTGAGCAACACTCATTCCCATTTTTCCAAGTGGGAAGAGTCCAAGACTTTCTGCATGAGAGAGGGCATTGGGCAGGAGGCGGAGTTACATGTTTGTGCCAAAAGTAGCTCATATTAGCGTGGACAGGTTTACAAACAACTCCAGGTCTGTTTTTGACGAGCGAACACTATTGTAACATGGTTAAAATCGCATAAAAGTCTATTTGCATTATATGTCTGTTTTTAAATAACTGCGCTCTGTCAAGGTTAAGATGATCTTTAAGTGACACTGTTGTTGCTGTTGTTTTTCTGACCTTTCGTGAGGCTGCTTTCTCGCACAGAGATAAATCGGTCCTAAAGACACACACTGTTATCTTTATTGAATTAAAACTCGGCTGCAGAACCTGTTGTTTCATCTCTCGTCAAAAAAGTGAACAGTCCAGCCATCAGACACCCACAAAGAGAGCGGCTGTGGTGATTTGAAGCAGGTAAATCAGTGAGAGTGGGGAAAGCGCTCCAGCAGGAGGTGCTTAATACATTAATGAACAGAAGAAGTGTCCTTGAACTGGAGTCGGTTTGGCGTTTGTTGCCGAGGTTGCGCTGTAACATCGTGTGTCAGACCATGTAGGCGGCAGAGGAGACGTGCTCGACTGGGATCTGACAAGCCTTTCATGGCGCTGCGTAGCTGAAGTGAAGCCGACTGGGTAACACCGGCAGCATATGAACACGACTGATGTAGCGAAGACAGAGTGGCTTGCAGCTTAGATATGAAGTACTGCGAGGGAGACCTGCTCTCAGACTGCAGCACTCAACATTTAAAACAAATTAAACACGGACAATCATTTCCACTCTTTTTCAAGCTCTAGAAATACCATCACTGCTACTTTAAGCCTGTCAATCATGTTATTACACCTGCCATTTTTCATCATTCACCATCAACTGTTCATACACATAATGATTGTTATTATCTTGATGTTGATGAATAGCTCGGGTCATTATATAACGCAGCAATCACACATGGGCGCACAAGCTAAAGGCTAAATTAAGCTCCTTTAAAGCCCACACAGCGGCATATCAATAGTAGGTTTTTCTACATGGGGGTGAATGTAGCCGGAAACGTGATTGTGTATGCCATTTACAGAGTGTAAGGATGGGATAATGAGGAGAGTGTGTGTCTGGCTGGGCGGACGCGGCAGGTGAATTTTTGAGACTGGCAATAGTGGAGCTGGGTCAGAGTAGGCTGCCCCTTCCCGCGGAGCTCTGATCGGAGAAGGTCCCACAGACGAAGAGCTACTGGACTGTTACGGCTCACTGACGCACAAGGAGGGCGAAGGTTGCTACATTCTCAGACACAATTATGGTAGAATCACAGCAGAATGTTCCAGAGAAGGTTTGGATTGTATTTGTGGGGTTTTATGTAATTGCATGTCTGTTCTGTGGGTGCGTGGGTATTCATCATTCATTTTATTACTTGATACTAAACTCAATTGATGCGTTTTTGTTTTGGTTTTAACGTTTTAGGCGCCACATGAGCTACGTTATTTACAGCAATCTACAGCTTCCAAACGTTTCCTTTAATGTTCTTTTCTTTTTAATGTACTTTCCTCTATAGTGGTGACATCATCATGGCTCCACCTGTTGTCAGTTACACATTTCTGGGGAAAAAAGTGGAAAAAAACTGTCTGAAGGGTTGATGATAGGTAAAAACCGTGGTTGTGGTTTGAATTTGTTTTCATTTTTTTTTTACCACCATTCAGTTAACACATGATGGGAGAATACTTTCAACACAGTGCACGTCTGCTAATAATTAATTTGATATTCCAAAAAGCATGGAAGCCTGATGCACTGAAAATATGTGTTTTTTTCCCCCTCATTTTTCCTCTCTTTTTTTGCCCAGATCATATGACGTAAGTGCTTAACTTTAGAGCGACACTAGAGGGAGCAGGACCCACACTGAGAAGCCTATTCATCCTCACATCGACACACATGCCCCCCTCCTTTTTTCCTCTGCCAAAATCCCGCCAACCAGTCGTCACATACAATGGCACAGGACATAGTGTGAGGTCCTCAATATCTTCCAACTTGCAGCTTCGCACTCTCCGTATTTAAATAGGCTTGGACGAGAATCCTGTCATTTAGAATTTTGAGATGCAGCAGGTTCGCTGGCAAGAGGAAAGTGTGCAAGGGCTGGGGTGAAGACTGTGGAAATATTGACATTTAGGAAAGCAAATAGAAATGCAGGTGAAGGACGCATTACTCGCGAGCTCGTGAGCGATCGTGTTCACAAATGCATCAGTCCACGGTCGGGTTGGTCCGTCCGCCCGCGTTGGTTCTTATATTGCTTTGGGGCCGGAGCGTGTGTCCCGGTCTGACTGATGGAAGAGTGGGTGTGGGTCAGGGCACTCCGGCACTCTGACGAATCTGCCCCTTTGTCGCACAGTCCATCAACAAGTGCACTTCAAATGCACACGCAGACCACTCATATTGTTCTGATACAAAGTGCTGTCCACATAAATCACATATAGTGGGGAAATCTGAACATTTTTTAACAAGTTTATTATGCTGTGGTGCTTTTAGCGGCTACAGCTGGTGATGGATGAATGTAGGTTGTGTTCATGTGACATCACAACGTTCCAGAGAGTCTGTGAGGGTGGCTCAAATATCTTTACTGGTGGCTACCGTAACGTTGTGGTGGAGGGGAGTTGAATCATCTTTCTTGGTAACTACTAAGTGTCAAAAGCCAGTGGTCTATTCTTAGTTTTTCCAATTAGATTTGCCAATTTCTCTGTAATGCCTGGGCCAACCCACATGGAACAAAAACTATCCCAAAAGTCTTACATCTTTGTCAGCATATATCAACTATAGTCAAATTATTCTATCATGACGATGTCCAGAAGTGGTGTGGATATTCTACAAAACATGTTCATGATGTTGACCAACAGAAGGAGAAAAAAGTACATGGTGGTTTCTGAATCTATAAGCAAATAATGGTCTGGGAAAACATTTTATTTGTCACGTATTCTCTCAAAAATTGCTTTTTTTCTCATAGATTTGTTTTGGGACCTTCTCCATCATAAACCCTCGATATTTGAATATAACTGGGCCACATGACAGAGGCTTTCACTTGGGATTTACAGACTTTACTTCAATGGCAAAAGCACTAAAATCCATCCTCACAACATAATATTTAGTAATAATTGACGCTTTTAATGCTATATGATTTCTTTCCCATTTCAAGCAAAGGTTATATTTATAAGAAAACTTCCATGCACTTTTGCCTGTTTGTGTTGCCTTACTTTTACTGTATGAAATGAATTAATACAATTCTCTCACTGGAAAAAAATCACAGTTTTTACTCAGACAGAAGTCCTTTTGATGTTGCACCAAATGTTTTCCCAGATTCACGCATTACTTAAGCACTAATCATTTGTGGATTCCTACCATGTGTTTGTCATCAGCGTCTCAAATATGACTAATTTAATTTTGATTTTGAAACTTGGATAAAAAGATCTCACCAGCGTATGCCAAAATTTGCTTTCACACTGATTGGATCATTCAGGAAGTACAATTAAATCAAAGCAAGGTGCCATATTAGTTCCTGATTGGCCCAGGCGGGGTCTTTATCAAACACACATTATTCTGTTCTTTTGAGGATATTTTTGTCACTCACACTATAAAAACCACTGTTTGTTTGTTATTTTGACAGCTTTTATTTAGAACATATAAATCCTGTATTATGTCTTTTCAATGGGGATTTTGAGACAGCGGAGCAGCAGACACATGGTTTGAAGCTACACCGTTATTGTCTGACCGCTGCTGGGAGTTCTTACAGGCGCACGGTTGTTAGATTTTATTTCATGGACAACCTCTGGGACCTTAAACATTTATTCTGCTCCAGGGAGAAAAATGTGTACTGTATGTGGCTCCGCGCTGGACAAAAGCCGAAGCGACAGGGAGGACATGGGGGTTAAGAGAGCACAATGCTGAGTGGATCGCTACATCCTTGCGCAAAATGAATGCAGATTTATAGATTTTTTTCACTTGAACTCTGTGGTCTCTAAACATATTCAACATCCTTTAGTTTTGATGCGTGCTGGTTTGAAGTCTTTGCTAAGGTCATACAGTCATTACAATCCATCATAGACTGTATGTAGATGGACAATGCTAACCCCTCAGCTCAATGAAGCCAATAGGACAACATTTTGATCTTGCTCCCTTTTTTCAAATAAAAAAATAAACTTCTCTTGCTCGGTGTCGTACTCACCAATTTGGGCCTACGACATCAGTGGTTTCACGCTCTCTGTGATCTTTTTGTTTATTTTTGTAGATTGTCTTAGAAACAGTGAAGTGAAACCCCCAAACATATGTTCCATCAAAAGATTCATTTCACTTTTGTATAGCTCTAAATCTCTTGCGTCGGAGGGCATAACAAAATTGTCAACTCGCCAACAACAGATTTAAAAATGTTTAATATTAAAACAAACACATTGATCAACAGGTGAAACTCAGATCATTAGAATACCGTTTAAAGTGGATTTATTTCCGTATTTCAACCAATATTGATGACATAGACTCCTTACCTGCAGAGTGACATATGCCAAGAGTTTGTTTGTTAATGATTTGACAAACAAAATATTTCTGAGATGTTTTATTTGAGGTTTTTACAAGCTGTGAGCCGATTATCCAAATTATGACAAATATAGACTTGATAAATTTAACTTTGCTTATACTGTGTTTGTCAAGATCCAACATTAAATTATTTTATTGTACTTTAATTACTATTTTTGTAACCTTCGACATGTCTGCTCGCTTCATGTCTTTTTGCACAATCTGAGTGACGCTATCTATGCTAATATGACATATAAGTTTCTCCATTGTGAGATCAATAAAGTTTATCTTATATTATCTCACCTTATCGACAACGTTACAGAACAACATAATTACATTTAGAGAATCATTCAAGATTTAGACATATTTAGAGGTGCATTCTCAACTGAACGTACCTCAGTGTGCGCTAATTTAGGCCTAAAGAGTGTAAAACAGTCACAGCAGAACCAGCAGAGTGACATTGTAAGTTCAACTACAGAAATTAAATGTACTTTTGATCGATTTTCCCGAGTTTCACCTGTGTGTAGCCGCGGCATGACCAATATCCGCATACAGCATGTTCATAAATGTCATAAATGAGAGAGATTGTGATACATTGGTGCAATAACAATAACATATGTGTGCTCATTTTTCAATCATCTCTTCAATTATTGGATATATTGTCATTTTTGTCCTGTGCTATCTTTGTAGCGTCCTGGGCCCAGCGTTGACCTTCAGAGTCGGCCATAACCCAAAGAACGTCTCCACGGCCGATCTCGTGGAAGTGGCCGGTAAGTGCGCATCACTCTCTTTGTCTCCCTATACACATACATTCACTATCATACTCCAACCATTGTGATAGATCTCTTTTCGCTGGTCCAGTACTTGTCAGCTGGCATGTGTGCTCCAGTAAATGAGAACACAGATTAGCCTCTCCAGATACTGTAGATACCGCAGTTCATCTTGTTCAGACAAACCCCTGTCCCATAGAAGATTATCAAGCCACCGTGATGACAGACGACCATCAATTACAGAAGCGACGAGTCCCCGCTCTTGTCCCCGCACACTCTGGCACAGTTTATTTGGTCTGCTTCTGGGTCCAATCGCCTGACAAGTTCAAGCAGGTCTGCGAAAGCCAATCATTTTGAGTCTATATGTGCTGTAGCATGTATGCACTTGTTGGATGTAGAGCGATGGAGACCTGTCACAAGTAGAAAAGAGGTTGTCGGTATGCCGTGTCCCCGTTCTCTCAGTCGTTGTCGGTTGTGCGTTCTGCCACTGCTTTTGTGTGTTTTTGTGTGTCCTTGTTTTGGACGGAAATGACTTTGAGAAGCGCAGCAATACTCCCCAACAGTCAATATCATCCAATATCAGGACGCTGGAACCAACATGATGCTGCTGATATCGGCTGGAATGTGTCTTCGTTGACTCAAATGTTTTCTTTTTTCAGGTTTTCTATTTGGGAAGTACTGGTTGATAATATCTGGTTTTATACAGATCTCAAATTCTTGACAAATGCGGTATTGTCACTGTTCAGTTATCCAGTAAATTAGCCCACAACTGGTAGGGACTGATTGCAATCAAAATGGAAATTTCCATATTAATGATCACTAGAAACAAATGGAAAATACCATTAATTTATTCCTGGTTATTATACTGTATTAAACCAGGCATGTTTGCCTTGATTACCCAAAGGAGATCTGTGAGAACTGGCCTTCACAAAATGGACAAACACAATATTCAAGTGATCCGGCCTTTAAGGTCACGGCGACTTCTTTCATGTCTCTGTTTTGGACTAGCTAACACCTGTGGGTTGGCGTCTTTGTTGTGATCAAATTGTAATATAAAATGCTTGCCCTGTCTTCATTCTGTCTGAAAAATTTCTGAGAAACTCTGAAACAAATGGAAGAACTGGAAACTGAAATAACGGCCCAAAAGTAATTCTTCTTCAGAATCTGCCTAAATCTGTAAGTTCACAGGGTCATCCAGCCAATAGCATGCTAGCCGTCGCTGTAAAGCCGAGAATCTATGGAATCTGGTTGTTGACATATTTGTATATCCTGACATTTGTTTATGATTGTAAGTAAGTAGGTAAGTAAGTGGGAAATTGTCTCTCACTCCACACAGTGATAGTAGTGGGATCCGCCTATTACGCTAATGTAAATAATGTAAGTAAAAAAATGTCATTCCGCCAACTCCTGCACTGTCAAGTATGTTTCGATATGGCGTGCCTTATTTCAAAGCTCACACAGGCTTGAAAACAGTTTTAAAATCCATGTTGTCAGCTGCTGGGCCTCTGTCTAAAAAGCTTGGACACCCCTGTACTCAACCAATAAATGAGCAAAGGCGCCTATATTAACAGCAGTGTAGAGAGAGCACTTTCCCACTTCATTCTTCACTTGCGCAGCGATGGACTTTGATGAGACGGCCTGTGGTGGGGCTAATGACAGGCGTGGACTGGCCCCAAATGTCAGAGCAAATGTTAAGTCAACACCATCACTAGACTGACCCATGCTGATGAATTATGAATACAGCCCAGTTGAATAGTGATTCGCTCCTTAGACAGCAGCTTTCAAATCTCTCAGCGCAACTGGGAAGAAGTTGAAACGACTCAAGGGTAGATAAACCAGGCTTTTAGTAAAAACATACACCTTGCTGAGGTTATTTGTGAACTAGAGACAAATCTGACACAAAATGGAGAATTATTGACCTTGCAGTGAGTGCTTGCCTAGTAGAAGCAAAAGGAACAAATGAATGGATGTGGTTGTAGGCAGTAGCACAAGGAGAATCAGTCAGAGAGTAGAAGTGGTTCATGTAGCAGAAACATATTATAGTAGCATTTGTTGTCGAAGGTCACAGTAAGTACAAGTAGGAATAGTAGTAACAACAATAGCTGCAGAATAATCAGTAGCCAGTGAAGCTATGGTAGATTTGCGTTCATATTTACTGACTAAATACCTTTATATTTATTTTATCATCTGAGCCATTTGTGAGTTTGGAACTACAGGCCTCATTATTTCCATAAAGCACATGTCAGACCTCTTTGTATAGAAACATAGTAAATGATGCTAAGAAAGAGTGAAGTGGTTAAATCCCTCGTCTTAGGAGCACTGTGGACCCTCCATGACCTTCCACCAAACCAGGGTAGCGCCTGATCTGCTTCGCTCCCTACTGTGAAGTGGAGGGAATCTTTTCTTTCCAAATGAATGCCTTTGGCCATTTTTCCCTCACACATATTTTTGATATCTGCATGACATCAAATTGCATACAACATGACAGCACGCTGGTTTCAGAGTGGTTATGAGGAGCCAGAGCCAAAGCGTGGTTTAAGTGGCTTTTGAAAATGGAGCTGACGCCCTCATGCAGTGGCCACCTGGGTAATCCTGAGTGACCCTTGGCCTCCGTGTGACTGTGCATAAATGACATGGCCTCTTAATGAACTCATCAAAACTCCCCACTGAACCTCGTTCCCAGGAGCTATGCCGCATCTATTACAGCTGTGCGCGTTGAAACACGGCGAAGCATGTGAAATTGCATGATTATAGTATCAAATCAATTTATTTTTGTGTTGCCCATATTCACAATGGCACTGGTCTTGACTCTTGAAGGGCGTCACAGAATTGTCAAACCATTAGAATACAATAAATCATCGAAACAGTCATTGGTTCATACGGTAACGGGTTAACCAATGTCCATAAATGTCCCAGATCATCCTTGAACCTTCTTGAATCAGCAATTAAGAACTCAAGAAACCCTGTGGAAGAAACAGTATGACCCTACATTACAGGGCGGAGTACAAAGCTATTTATGAGGATTTTAGTTGTTGATCAAATCCAAAAATCTCATACAATATTGGTTTTTCATCAATATGGCATGACTCTTGCTCTTGCTTTTCCTGACCAGTGTTGGAGCCTAAACCGGGCTTTATAAAACATGCATAATATTTTTTAATCCATTGAACATAGCAGTAAATCCGTCTAGGATTTTGACGTACCCACTGGATGTGCCATTTTCTGTTGTCCCAATGTTATAGTGGCTTGTGTTATTCTTCATGTGTGTTGTTGCCCTAGTGCTACTGCATATTTTAGTGTTTTGAAACCGTGCGCTACTCGAGCAAAACATAAAATTCACTCTTGAGCTCAAGGCTACTATACTGTGTTTGTCAGTAGATCAGATTTAGGATGATGAACTCCATACCCATGTTGGAACAGGAAAAGATGGACGGTAGTTGGCATTACCTTAACTGTACGACGTGAGAGAAGTTAATATGGCACTGCTACATTCGGCTGTCCATCTATCTGGCCATCAGTTCTATTTGATGTGTTCAATGCCCTATTGAAACGGACAGACAAAGAGACTGGCTTGAAAGGCATGGACAGTATAGAGGAGATTTGATAACTCATTGAAAAGCATCTTTTGGGCAGCAGGTTCTTAGCGGCTGTGTGCTGAAAGGCCTGCTGGGAGGTCTGACTGTATTAGTGGAGGTAGAGGCTCTTGTGTTCTGCTCAACTGGAAAACCGCAGGACAAAGACATGCACTGCCTAATCCCTGCTCGGCTGCAAAACAAAAGAGAAAGCTGCTGCTTTATCACAACTACAAGGCATTCTGTTGTGTCTGTGTTTCTCTGTGTGTCTACTTTTGTGAGACATTCTTTTTTGCAGCTGTGTTCATACTGTGCCAAGAAAATGATTTATTCAATATTTGATGAAGTGGCAGCCAAGCTGTTAAAACCAGTGCAGAAATGTCTTGTTTAGAACTGTACTTTTTGCCTCTGTGCTTCCTCTCAATCTCTGTATAATTTCTAAACATGTAAATCACCTTCAGTGGTGGAAATTGGATCTGCCAGAAGCGCTTTTGTTGACTGTAAAGCATCAATTTGTAGATGATGATAGATTTGATCCCTCAGTCTTTCCACTTAACATGCATGCTTCTCTTGTGGAACATCTTCAGTGATGTCCTGTCATGTCTTTTCAAATCTTCTTCAATCATTGCTTATTGATACAGATATGTTTTTCCCAATATCCATCTGTTTGCTGCCATCTCAGTGTACTTTGACCTTGTGCCAGATGTTTTCCATTGGTTAACACAACTTGTTGTATGGTCATGTGACTAGAGCAGTGTTTACCAACTGGAGGATGTCCTGGCCAGCAGCAGTGTGGAGCAGATCTTTGAGTCAGAGAGGTGGGCAGGACCAGGACACTGCTATTGTCTCTGCTGTCATGGCTGGGCGACCCCAGAGGCCCCAGAGGCCAGAGCATAGGCCCCCAGGCCGTGAGAACCACTGCCCTGGTCAATGAGCGCTTGGAGCCTGGGGACCCTGAGAGCAAGTGGCTGGGCCATCTGGAGCAGAGAGCAGAGACCCTGACACACGGCTGTCACCCCAGGGAGACGCGCCCAGACATGGACACGGACATTGTCTGCTCCACTGTTCTGCCTCTGTCTGTGAGCTGTGCCTGTGACAGCCCAAAGACATCAGACAAGCAGAAGCACTGTGAGAAACTTCACTCAACTTAAGTTTGACACAAGTAGAGCTTCTTCAAAAAGTCTTGTTTTAGCCTGCCGTGCTTTTCAGGCAGCACTACAGAACGAGGTCACTTCAGCATAGAATCTGTAATAATACTTTTGAGAACGAAAATACCATCACATTGTAGGACTAAACATCTGGCTACATGATATTTAGATTTTTTTAGAAGAATTTTGCAAGATTTAAGCAAATCCAAAAATTGGTATCATTCAGATCGACATCTTTTGGCTTTTGACAGTTCCCTGAGAACCTACAATATGAGGTTTA